CCGGAGGTTGGGGGGGGTACGTGAGGGGACGGCCTTACCTCCCGGAGGTCCGAGGAGCCCCTCTTCAGCTCGCCGGCCATCACCAGCACCGACTTGAGGGCCCGGAGCCCAAAGTCGTAATGGTGCTGTTTGGAGAGCTGTTCGCGGGCCAGCTTGTACAGGACAGTCATCTTCTTGGCCAGAGTCTTTTTGACAAAAGGCAGAGGAGGGAGAGAAAGAGTGTGCATGGAAGCAACAGAAGAACCCCGCAGTGGGCAGGCAAGAGAAGGGTCAGCAAGCTGCTTCAGGGAGGTCGCGCAGTGGACAAGCAGGTCAGCATCGGCCTCCCGTTTTTTAGTCAGAGACAACCAGGAAAGAATCAGAAGAAATGCCCGCTGCCCGCCTTTCCCCCCTTGGAAGCCCGACCACAGAGGCTAAGAGACTTCAGACACCTGATATGAAGCATCGGGGCCCAGCCACTCTGAAAATCTGCATCGCATTGATCTGAACCTAGGACGAGGTTTTCTACTCCCGGTTAACAATGGCAATCTTGGAAACTCACAGCAGCAGTTCTACCCTGTCTTACAGGGTCCCTGTGAGTCGTAGTGAGTAGTAAGGAACCCCATCAGTCGTGCCTACAGGACTTACTACTGTAGTAAGCAAGCCCTGGGGGCGTAGTGGTTACGAATTGGGCTGAGATGCACACGGTCAGCAGTTTGAAACCACCAGATGCTCCGTGAGAGAAAGACAGGGCTTTCTACTCCCGTACAGAGTGACAGTCTCAGAAACCCACAGGCGTCGTTCTACCCTGTGCTGCCGTGTCGCCAGGATTTGCCATCAAGTCAGGGCAGCAAGTGGCATGAGCTGTTGTAACCCTTTCACAGTGGCCACATTCCCGTCCGGCTCCCAACACTGCTCTTTGCAGGTGTTGCATTTCTCACACGTGGAAGTTCACGGCAGCCCAACTCCTAACAGGTCCTCCGGCGCCACCTTTCCAGCAGGGCCCTACTGTGGACATGCTCACGATGCTCCAACCTATTTCCTCACTCTAGTATACACCAGGAGCCCTGGTGGCACAGTGGTTATATGCTCGGCTGCTAGCTACAGGGTCTACAGTTCAAAACCACGAGCCGCTCCAAGGGAGAAAGATGGAGCTTTCTACTCCGTGTAGAGTCACAGTCTCAGAAAGCCATCGGCCAGTTCTACCCTGTCCTGTAAGATCACTGCGAGTTGGCATCAACTCAATGGCCGTGAGTTTGGTTTGAGATGCTGCTTTGATTGGTCTGGAACTCAACCGTCGTGCCCCACCACCACCATCCCTGAGACCCCCTGGATCAAAGGGGACCATTTTAGGATGAGTCAAGAACTCAAAGCCTACTGCTTGGA